AAAACTGGGGGGGGGGGGGGGGGGGCCCGTTTTTGTTTAAAAAAAATCCCCACAAGGGGGAGAGGGGGGCCCCGCCCTTTCCCCCCCCCCCCAAGAGAAGCCCCCGCCCCCCGGGAGTTTTCTTTACTCCCCCCCGGGTTGGGGTTTACTTATTCCCCCGTTTTTCCCCCCCCCGGGGCCCCGGAAAAAGAGGGTCGGTTCCTTCCCCCCATTTGGAAAAATTTAAAGGGGGGGGGCGGTCCGGGGGGGGTGCAATACCCCCTTTGGGCAAATTTCGGCCCACCCTCGGCACCGGACCTCTTACTTGGCCCCCCCGCGCGGCGGCCTGGGGAGTCCCGTCAAGGGGCAATCGCTCGCGGGCACTTGCAACGGCCGGCGCGGAAAGTTACCGGCGGGGCGTGCTGGTTCCTTAGAGACCGAACCCGGGCTGGGCGGCGGCGGCGAAACCGCCGAGACAAACCGCCCTTGGAGAAGCCAAGATGCCGAGTAGGGGCAAGAGGAAAGGCAAGAACAAAGACAAAGACAAGCTTCTTAAGAAGTAAGGAGAACCCACGGTGGGGTCCTCTCCCGGGATTGGGGCCCGGGGGCCGCAGGGGTTGGCTGACTGGCACCTGGCCGCCCGCTCTCCTGGACTTTTCTCTCGCTCTGCCGGATTCTGAGGACAGTTCCCATTGTTCAGAGATTCCCAAATGCATGCCCGACTTGACTGCTTCAGCTTAGCCACTCGGATGAGATTTGGGACCCTGACGTCATTTAGACAGCCCCTACCTATGTGTAATGCATTAACGGTGGAGGCAGACAGGTTCCCAAAAAAATAGACGGAATGAAATAGGTGCTTGTGGAGGAACAAAGAGCTGAGAATGAGGAGGAAGAGGTCTGACACGAGAAGTGAAAGCCAGGATAACATTTATTGGGATATTGGAGGTCCTCTAGACCAGCGCTGTCCAATAGGGTAGTCACTGGTCATGTGTGGCTGCATTAAAATTAAATTAACAATTCAGATCCTCAATTGTACTAGCCACATTTCATAACCTCAGTGGGCACATGTTGCTAGCGGTAACTGTATTGGACAGCCCAGACATCTAACATTTTCATCATTACAGAGAGTTGTATTGGACAGCAGTACTCTAGATGAGTGGTTCTTAACCCAGGGCGATTTTGCCTTCCAGGGCACATTTGGCAATATGCCTGGAGACATTTTTGATTGTCACATCTGGGAATGTGTGCTATTGGCATCTAGAGATGAGCAGAGATGCTGTTTTACATCCTGCAATGCACCGGAAAACCCCCTCACCCCGCACCCCAAAGAATCATTTAGCTCAGAATGGCCGCAGCACCAGGGTTGGGAAACCCTGCTCAAGACTATAAACTTCTCTACAATAGGCACTGAGCATTATTCACCATATCTCCGGCACCTAGCAGAGAGCCTGGCACACAGCAGATGCTTATTATTTGTTCATTAAATAAATTAAGGTATCTGCCTGTGTATGCTTCAACTTAGATGTTTATTCCACAAGAACTGTGCTCTGGGTTCATTCTTTCTTGATCCTAGTCTGAGATCTCTCTACTGTGTGGTTGAGATGATCTTGAACATCTAAAGGATCTCTCAATGATTGAAGCAGTTCCTTGGGTCTTCTAGGGATTCCTTTTGGTTCAAAGGAAAGAGTAAAGGATTTGACCAAATTGGCTAATTGTTCAGATTTCTCCAAAATGATCAGAACTAACTGTAGCACTAATCCTTTCCAGGTTTGGAGCTGCTGCTAATTGTCACTTAATCTATTAGGTGGCCCTGGTAGTTCCCAGACACATTGGAGTCATACATGGTGTTCAACAATACTATATATGGGACTATAAGAGAATCCCCAAACTTGTAAAGTTTGTGAAGTTACTTGTTTAAGAGAGTAATAAATGCTCAGTACAGAAAGTTTAGGAAACATGATAGTCAAAATAGAATATAAAAATCACCTGTAATTCATCATCCAAATATAACCACTACTATTATTTGGGGATATTCTTTTATCTTTTGGAAATGATAGCCTAGTGTACATACTTATTTGTAACTTTCCCCATTTATTAATATAAGTATTCTTCTACAGTGTGACTTTTAAAAAAAACACCACATAACTGCATAGTTAGTCTAGCACTTTTAAAAAGTGCTAAGGGCGGGAGAAACCAAGATGGCGGCATAGGTAAACACCGGAAATTGCTACCTCACACAATCATCCAGAACCACAGGAAGGCTGGCTGAGTGGAAATTCTACAACTAGAAGGAAAGAGAAAAGCACTGAGACTCAGAGGAGGTGCGGAGGTGCGGAGGCACACGCCGAAAGGGCTGGCAACTGAGGACATGGTGCACATGGAAAGGGCTGGCAGCTGAGGACGCGGTTGTCTTTTTCAATCGGGAGGGAGTCTCAAGCTCCTGACTGCTCTGAACTCCAGTTCCGGGTGAGTCTCTGGGGACCCAGACTCATACGGGGAGAAACTGGACTGTTTGGCAGTGGGCAGAACTTGAGGGCAGCTTTCTCTCAGAGGTGCTTGCAGTGATTACTGGGACACTGAGACCCGGGACCTCTTAGGGCGGGACTGAGAAGCAGCCATAGCTGCTTGCTCCGCCCTGTTGATCCCCTGAGACCCCGCCCCACCCAAGCTATGCACAGAGGCTTTTGCATATGAAAGGTCTGGCCCTTTGCAACCTGAAAATTACCTAACAAACTGGAGCTGAATCAGAGAGACCCAGAACGTCCAAAAGAAGGTCCAAGGCCCCACAGCAGCTTGCATTGCTTCACAGCTGGGCCTCATCTGGGCACCTCCAAACCCCAAACAAAGAAGAGGAATCTCTCCATAGCTCCTGCTGAGTAGCCTCAGGCAGAGACTAGATTAGCACCTCCTTAGAGATCCAGGAGCCAGTGTACCCAGTGGTCAGAGTGGGACCGTCCAGATTACAACTCCTCAGATCCATAAGGGACACACTCAGGGGCAGACTCAGTGAGCACCAAAGCCCCACTGAAGCATGCCTTGCCCCAGAAGAGTGTCTCCAGCTCAGAAGTTCTCCCACCATAACCACAGCTGATTCTCACAGCCAATTGGCCTGGAGGTCAATTCCTCCCAGTGATACCTACAACAATCAAGACTTAAATACAACAAGACTGTGCACAAAGCCCACAAAGGAGTGCACCAAGTGTGTCCACCTCAGGTAATTGGGGAGGCTGAGCCACTGGGCCCTATAGGACACCTAACACTGAAAGCCACTCCATCAACACAGGGAAGCATAAAAAATGCGGAGACAAAGAAACAAGTCACAAATGACAGAAATGGAGGAAAGCAAACTACTGGATATAGAGTTCAAAACCACACTTTTAAGGTTTTTCAAGAATTTTCTAGAAACCACCGATAAATTTAGTGAGACCCTCAAGAAATCGAGACCCTTGAGGATATGAAAAAGGACCAACTAGAAATTAAGCATACACTGACTGAAATAAAGGATATTATGCAGAGTTCCAACAGCAGACTAGAGGATCTCAAGAATCAAGTCAAAGATCTGAAATACGAAGAAGCAAAAAACACCCAACCAGAAAAGCAAAATGAAAAAAGAATCCAAAAATACGAAGATAGTGTAAGGAGCCTCTGGGACAGCTGCAAGTGTACCAACATTTGAATTAAAGGGGTGCCAGAAGAAGAGAGAGAGCAAGATATTGAAAACCTATTTGAAGAAATAATGACAGAAAACTTCTCCTACCTGGTGAAAGAAATAGACTTCCAAGTCCAGGAAGCGCATAGAACCCCAAACAAAAGGAATCCAAAGAGCACCACACCAAGACACATCATAATTAAAATGCCAAGAGCAAAAGACAAAGAGAGAATCTTAAAAGCAGCAAGAGAAAAACAGTCAGTTACCTACAAGGGAGTACCCATACAACTGTCAGCTGATTTCTCAACAGAAACTTTGCAGGCCAGAAGGGAGTGGCAAGAAATATTCAAAGTGATGAATACCAAGAACCTACAACCAAGATTACTTTACCCAGCAAAGCTATCATTCAGAATTGAAGGTCAGATAAAGAGCTTCACAGATAAGAAAAAGCTAAAGGAGTTCATCACCACCAAACCAGCATTATATGAAATGCTGAAAGGTATCCTTTAAGAAGAGGAAGAAGAAGAAAAAGGTACAGATACAAATTATGAACAACAAATACACATCTATCAACAAGTGAATCTAAAAATCAAGTGAATAAGTAATCTGATGAACAGAATAAACCGGTGAATATAATAGGATCAGGGGCATAGAAAGGGTGTGGACTGACTATTCGGGGGGGGGGGGTGTGGGAAGAGACTGGACAAAAATTGTACACCTATGGATGAGAACAGTGGGTGGTGGGGGTAAGGGCAGAGGGTGTGTTGGGAACGGGGTGGAGGGGAGCTATGGGGGAAAAAAAGAGGAACAACTGTAATAATCTGAACAATAAAGATTTAATTAAAAAAATAAAAAGGGCCAAGGGCTTATCACATTCTTGGAACTCACTAGCATATGTTTTCCATTTTTGACCATGCATCTGCAGTACACATATCAACAATGAAGAACACTGAGCCCTTGCCAGGTGGTTCAGTTGATTGGAGTGTCACCATGTTCACCAAAAAGATTTTGGGTTTGATTCCTGGTCAGAACACATACCTAGGTTGGTGATTTGATCCCCATTCATGGCACATATAGAAGGCAACTGATGAGGTTCGTCTCTCGAATCAATGTTTCTCTCTCTCTCTAAAATCAATAAACATATCCTCCAGTGAGGATTGAAAAAAAAAGAGGAACATTGAGGGTAACAGATCTCTTATTTCTTGGATTTTCCATGACTCATAGTTTGAGAAACCCTGCTTTGTTTTTACAGTCAGTATTAGTGGTCCTTTTATGAGAAATCCTATCTGATTTCTTTCATCAACTCAGAGCAAGTTAGACTTGATACCTTCAGGGAGCAATTTGATGACTGCAACAAGGCAGTCTGTCACTATTGTCTAAATCATGCTGGAAAGGGAGTTCAATAGCTATAACAGGGTGGGGGTTGGAGATGAAGCTGGCCATAATTTGTAGAGAATAAAAGGTGAGAGTGGGACTGAAAAGGGATCAAGAACCAAAAGTTGGTGGGGATGGAGGGTGACAGTATAGAAGTGTCCACACATACTTATGTATGAAAATATTTAGAATTCAAATACAGGTGAAGTCTTTATTATCTAAATACTAGTGGCCTGGTGCATGAAATTCGTGCACTGGGAGGGAGGGTTTCCCTCAGCCAAGCCTGCACACTCTCCAATCGGGGACCCCTCGGGGGATGTCCTGTGGGATCGGGCCTAAACCGGCAGTTGGACATCCCTCTTGCAATCCAGGACCGCTGGCTCCTAACCGCTCACCTGTCTGCCTGATCACCCCTAACCACTCTGCCTGCCTGCCTGATTGCCCCTAACCCCTCTGCCTGCCTGCCTGATCACCTCTAATCTCTCTGCATTTGGGCCTGATCGCCCCTAACTGCCTATGCCTGCCTGCCTGATTGTCCCTAACTGCCCTCCCCTGCTGGAATGATCATGCCCCTGACTGCTCTCCCCTGTTGGCATGATCTCGCCCCCAACTGCCTCTGCCTGCCTGATCACCCCCAACTGCCCTCCCCTGCCTGCCTGATCTCACCCCCAATGGCCCTCCCCTGCCGGCTTGATCTTGCCTCCAACTGCCCTCTCTGCCTCGGCCCCCACCACCAGGGCTTTGTCCAGAAGGAAGTCAGATGTCTGGAAGATGGCTGGTTGACCTGGTCTAATTAGCATATTACCCTTTTATTAGTATAGATAGATTATATAAGATAGGATTGCTTAAATGGGGGGTGGGGTAAAGCCTTTTCTGCAGGAGGAGATGCTCTTGGCAGACAAAAATACATAATCCCTATATCTGGACTGATAGCCAGACTGATATGCACTATACTGCCAAACTGTTCATTAGAAAATTAAACTGCTTTCTTTCACCTTACACCAAACAGCTGTTGCCCTTAAAAACCCTCCTCAGCCCCCACCATCGGTTCTGCCTTCGCAGTTCACCCAGATTAGGTTCTGATTGGTCGGTTTCTATGCCAGTTAGTATCAAAAGCTCCACCTCCTAGGCAGCCATTGGCTCCTCGCACTTCATGCAGAGATGGTTCTGATTGGTCAATTTCTATGATAGTCAGCATATCCGGGCCTATCTCTGGGCCTAATCAGAGAGGTGGGGCTGATCAGCAGCCCCTGCAGAGGCCCAGAGAGAAACAGAGGCGGGGCTGCTGGCGAAGCCCGAGAGAAAGAGGCAACAGCTGATCAACAGTTTCCATGGAGGCTGCAGATCAGACCCTGCCTCTCCAGGCCTCTCTCCGAGCCTGATCCGCAGCCACGGCAACCCAGCACTGACTGCAGGACTGACTTCCGGTCGGTCGAGCCTTTGGTTTTTTCAAACCCTGGGTTTTTATATATTAGGATGCATGTTCACTAATACAAAGGTTGAGAGTTCAGGTCAGAACTCTTAGCTACTTAAATTTTATTTTCCTTCCCCAACAATTTGCTAGATGCTTGCACTGTTCTCTACTCTCTATGGCATTCCCGGTCCCACTGCACCTGCCGCCACCACTGCTCAGTAGCCCTGCCCAGGAGGCAGGAGAGGCTTGTGCCGCCACAGCTGCGCTTGCCAGCTGTGAGCCGGTGTCTGGCACCCATTGGTGAGCTGACCAGCACTCCCGCTGTGGGAGCACACTGACCACCAGGGGGCAGCACCTGCATTGAGTGTCTGCCCTCTGGTGGTCAGTGTGCATCATAGCAACTGGTGGTTCTGCCATTTGATTTGCATATTAGCCTTTTATTATATAGGATATACCCAGCCGACGCCTAACTGCTCACCTGCCGGTCTGATTGCCCCTAACTGCCCTCCCCTGCTGGCCTGGTCACCCCTAACTGCCCTCCCTGGCCAGCCTGGTTGCCTCTAACTGCCCTCCCCTGCCAGCCTGGTCACCCCTAACTGCCCTCCCCTGCAGGCCTGTTCCCCCCCTACTGTCCTCCCTGCAGGTCTGGTCACCCCCAACCACCCTCCTCTGCAGGCTTGGTCCCCCCAACTGCTCTCCTCTGTAGGCCTTGTTCCCCCCAACTGTCCTCCCCTTCAGGCCTAGGTCACCCCTAACTCCCTTCCCCTGCAGGCCTGATCGCCCCCAACTGCCCTCCCTTTCAGGCCTGGTCCCTCCCAACTGCCCTCCCCCTGCTGGCCTGATCGCCCACAACTGCCCTCCCCTGCCAGCCATCTTGTGTCCACATGGAGGTGGCCATATTTGACCACATGGAGGCGGCCATCTTATATGTGGGAGAGATGGTCAATTTGCATATTACTATTTTATTAGATAGGAGTTCCACTTTACCTCTGTACAAATGATTATGGTTTGTTTGTCAGGCATCCTTGAAGCCTGATGCATTGTGGAACTAGCAGATAAAATATTTAACATACTAGTACTTGCTCAAGTGACTTGAATATTTGTCCAAGGCCTAGCCAAGAAACAAACAAAACACACAAAATACCCTAGAACAAAAAGAAAATTGGGATTGGGATAGGTGGAAGATTACAGAAATATGGATTTAAAGTTACATTTACATTATGAATGTATCTTCATGGTGAAGAGGAACTAAGGTAATGGATTTGTAGTAGAGAGAGCCAGGGTCTAAGACTGAGCAAGTTGGAATAAAAGACAGTTCAAATATGAGAGAATCAAATAAGTAAGTGAAAAGATGTGAAAGCTTTATGAAGTAAATTTAATTTATTATGCCTTTCCTCTTTGTTTTTCTAGTCCTTTGGAGTTATGCTCCAAAGCTTTCCTCTTCCAGGAAGAGGCACCTACTAAGATAACTCCCTTGTCAAGTAAATATGTATTTATTATTAACTAATTCATCTAATAATGCTTGATCATATGTGCCAGGCAATATCAAACAAAACAATAATAGAGAAAAGTAGTAGAGAATAATTAGTTATATGTTGTCAATGCCCTCTTCCCATGTAGGAAGTCAACAAAAACTGAGGAAACTGCAGTGGAAAGAGCCAAGGCCAATGCCTCCCTTTGGGAGTCCAGGCTGGAAATCACAGAGCTCTCTAGGATTGAGTATCGTGATACTTCCCTGAGACTTGCAAAAACTAATGAGGACTTAAGGAAACAGCAGTATAAAATGGAGAAAGACACAATGTCCGTATTAAGCTACCTGAAGAAGCAGGACCAGGAGAAAGATAATATGGTAGGTGGGTAGAAATCCTCATTACATAGAAACTTTGTGGCCTGCATTAACTAATTGATATTGATCTGCCTTTATCAGTATCACTTATATTTTTTTATTTTCATCTGCCTCCATATATCAAAGGCCTACATCTATCTGTAGCAAATGTATAATTTTTCACAATTATGGATGTTCATTAAAACCAAAGAAATTATTTTGCAAAGAAGTAAAGCAGGTTCAAAATATCCTGGTTAGCTAGCTCTCCTATATTGTTTTACTCATTCTTCTATATCATAGAAATATATTATTTTCTTAAACTTTATTTAAACTGTTATAGTCTTATTTCATGTTAATTATAGAAATACTAGAGGCCTGGTGCACAAAATTCGTGCATCTCTCTCACAATCCGGGACCACTGCCTCCTAACCGCTCGCCTGCATGCCAGCCTGATTGCCCTCTAACTGCTCCCCTGACAGCCCGATCGTCCCCAACTGCCCTCCCCTGCTGGCTCAATCACCCACAACTACCTGACCCGCCTCCTCTGCACGAGGCGGTGGAGATGCCAGGACTGGCCTCCTCCGTGCCGCGTGGAGCCGTGGGACCCCCAGGCCTCACCATGTGGAGCGGCTGCCAGACCCCACCTCTGCTGTGCACGTGGCCATCTTGTGGCAGCCATCTGTGGCGGCCATCTTTTCGGAAGCCATTTTTGCGGTGGCCATCTTGTGAGGGCATCGCACGAGAGCATCACTCAAGGTCATTGCACCAGGGTGTGGCACCACCTAAGCTTTTATTATATAGGATTAAAAATAGGGGAGAAACCAAGATGGCGGCATAGGAAAACACCGGAAATTGCTGCCTCCGACAACAACTTCAAAAATACAACTAAAAGACAGAACAGTCATCATCCAGAACCACAGGAAGGCTGGCTGAGTGGAAATTCTACAACTAGAAGGAAAGAGAAGAGCACACAGACTCAGAGGAGCTACGAAAGTAAAGTGCAGAGGGAAGCAGACAAAATGCGAAGACAAAGAAACAGGTCACAAATGACAGAAATGGAGGACAGCAAACGACTGGATATAGAGTTCAAAACCACGGTTCTAAGATTTTTCAAGAATTTTATGGAAACCGCCGATAAATGTAGTGAGACCCTCAAGAAATCTAGTGAGACCCTCAATGTTGCGATAAAGGACCAACTAGAAATTAAGCATACACTGACTGAAATAAAGAATATTATACAGACTCCCAACAGCAGACCAGAGGATCGCAAGAATCAAGTCAAAGATTTGAAATACGAAGAAGCAAAAAACACCCAACCAGAAAAGCAAAATGAAAAAAGAATCCAAAAATACGAAGATAGTGTAAGGAGCCTCTGGGACAACTTCAAGCGTACCAACATCAGAATTATAAGGGTACCAGAAGAAGAGAGAGGGCAAGATATTGAAAACCTATTTGAAGAAATAATGACAGAAAACTTCCCCTACCTGGTGAAAGAAATAGACTTCCAAGTCCAGGAAGCGCAGAGAACCCCAAACAAAAGGAATCCAAAGAGGACCACACCAAGACACATCATAATTAAAATGCCAAGAGCAAAAGACAGAGAATCTTAAAAGCAGCAAGAGAAAAACAGTCAGTTACCTACAAGGGAGTACCCATACGACTGTCAGCTGATTTCTCAACAGAAACCATGCAGGCAAGAAGAGAGTGGCAAGAAATATTCAAAGTGATGAATAGCAAGAACCTACAACCAAGATTACTTTATCCAGCAAAGCTATCATTCAGAATTGAAGGTCAGATAAAGAGCTTCACAGATAAGAAAAAGCTAAAGGAGTTCATCACCACCAAACCAGCATTATATGAAATGCTGAAAGGTATCCTTTAAGAAGAGGAAGAAGAAGAAAAAGGTACAGATACAAATTATGAACAACAAATACACATCTATCAACAAGTGAATCTAAAAATCAAGTGAATAAATAATCTGATGAACAGAATAAACCAGTGAATATAATAGGATCAGGGGCATAGAAAGGGTGTGGACTGCCTATTCTTGTGGGGGAAAGGGGTGTGGGGGATGCGGGAAGAGACTGAACAAAAATCGTGCACCTATTGATGAGGACAGTGGGGGCGGGGTGAGGGCGGAGGGCGGGGTGGGAACCGGGTGGAGGGAAGCTATGGGGGGGAAAAAGAGGAACAACTGTAATAATCTGAACAATAAAGATTTAATTTAAAAAAAACAGTTAATGCTCCAGGAATAAGTTCCTACCTAGTAATTTTTGGTATAATAATAGGGGTGTGCCGAAACCGGTTTGGCTCAGTGGATAGAGCGTCGGCCTGCGGACTGAAAGGTCCCAGGTTCGATTCCGGTCAAGGGCATGTACCTGGGTTGCGGGCACATCCCCAGTGGGAGATGTGCAGGAGGCAGCTGATCGATGTTTCTCTCTCATCGATGTTTCTAACTCTCTATCTCTCTCCCTTCCTCTCTGTAAAAAATCAATAAAATATATTTAAAAAAAAATAAATAATAGGGGTGTAATATAAAAATTGCAGTAACTTGTTTTTTAGTAGGTGACAACTAAGTTCCCCTGAATATCCACTTAGTCCTATCTGCCAATTCAAATCAGTCTGAAATAACATTTCTAATTGCTTCCAAGTGAGGGGAAGATAGATACATTGGGGTTCTTTACCTCTAAGCTGCCTGCAGCACTTTCTGAGTTGAGATATTGACCCATGAGTTCTACATATGTAACCACAGTTTCAGAGGATTGAGGTGGACCCACTCAATAATAGTAGGAGAGTTTTTATTTTGGAAGATGACTCCAGTGGGACTATTTCTAGTAGGATTAATCTGTCCTAATAAAGGCAATTTAGGCTTTGTCTGTGCTACTTGGGCTGAGGAGATTGCCTGGTCAATTCTTAGTAACTCCTTCCTAGCTTCATCTGTTAATGTTCGGGACAAGGAAAGATTAAAGTCATCCCTAAGTATATTGAATAAATTTGTCATTTCTCCTGTAGAGATTTTTAGGTAAGGTCTTAACCAATTAATGTTCCCTAATAATTTTTGAGAGTCATTTACGGTAAGGTTTTAAGGTAATCCTTCTGTATTTCTACTTTTTAAGGCCTAATACATTGATTTTTAATTACAGTTTCTAGATATTTGAAGGGCATTCCCCTCTATATTTTTTCCCAGAGCAATCTCTAAGCCACATTTAGGGAGTTTCTTTTAAAAACTTTTACTTTCTTTTAAACAGCAACCAACTTGGTTGCCTTTCAGAAAAACAGGGAGGAGAGAGACATGCTGGTCAATACTGCAATGCATACATCTCAAGTAAAAGTAACTTTCTTTTTTTTCCTTCTCATTACATACGCAACCTTCACAAATTTCAGTTTCAAATTAGCCTTCAAACCTTCTTTCCATGTCCTTCAAAAATGTATAAACATGCCTTAGACCTTCCATTAAGTATTTCCACTGTAATATTCTTTCTTTCTGTAACTTGTATATACCTTCAGCAACTTGCACAGACCTTTCTTTTTTTCTTTAAAATGTATTAGAATTCTTCACTCTCAGAAACCTTAATTTTCCAATGATTACCAAAAAGTAAACAGCCAGCATTTCTTAGATTAACATTTATGAACACACTTTAAATACACTCTTACTTTCAAGAAAATATACCCTCAACAAAGTACACGAGGCCTTCTGTAATAAAAACTAAGAGCAGGCAAATTAAAACTTGTCTAGCAGGTAATGTTTCAGTATTGTATGCTATTTAAAAATATTTAGATGTTTATCATTTAACCTATCAATGCTCCAAAGTCTTTAAGTTAATTAAGTCTTTTAGAAAATTATATATAGGCATATGAAGCTAGAGAAAAGGCAGGGGGAGGAGAGAGTAGGCCTCTAGCTGCTTGGATTTTAAACTGCTATATTCTTCCTTAGAGATAACATCTAAGGTTACTGCTGTGGCTTCTCTGCCTTTAAAGGGAGAAGGGTGACTGGCCCTTTCCTCTAACAGAGAGTACAGTCAGTCTCCTCTTGAGTGACTGACTTCATTATTAATATATTTATAATTATTACTGAAAAGCTTTATTATAAATCCTTCATTTTAGTTACATCTTTTTATTTATGTTTTAACAACTTTGAGATTTTAAAGCCAATTATTATTTATCCAAGGCATTTTCTTTGGCTATGAGAGTCAGCTGTGTCGGCAATACTAGGGGTGAATTTACAATGATGTTTTTGCCTTTTACTCGAATTCTTCCCCATTATAACCTGAATCAAAATGTTCCTTGTCCACTTATGGTTGCAACTCTGAAGCTGGCCCGGGCTTTGTGCGCAGTGAACTTCTCACTTTTCTGGTGAATTTCCACTTTTCCTTTTTCACTTTGTTTTTCGCTCAGGTGAATCTTCTCCTCCAGGTCCTGCTCATGGCACCAGAATGCTGCAACCTGCATGGCTAGTGTTCAGGATCCGAAAGAGGGGCTGACGCACAAATGAAAGTACTATATAAGAAATATGAATTTAGAAGGCATGAAGGGCCAGCTGGAAACCCCCTTTCTTGGGGAGCCACACTGAAACCTGGCCTTATCCACTTTTTATTCAATTTTAGATACACATCTTGCCCTCAGTAGAACATGGCAAACAGGTAGTAGACAGTCTGTAAGTTCAATAAACATCAGTAAATATCAGTAAGCTTCAGTAAACATTTACTTTGAGGCTATTCATTCAGGAAATTGCTTCGAGCCACCACTATCTCAACACAGAACAGTCAGTGCTTAGCGTCAGCCTGCTAATGCCCAAGGTCCATTGGCCTTCTGTGTTCCTTGGTGCACTCTTATGACAGTATTGGGAAAGTGGTGGCTTCCCACAGTCACAAGATAGTCCCAGGGATGTAAAGTACAACATAGGGAATATAGTCAATGATATTGTAATAATATTGTACAGTGCCAGGTGGGTCCCCCCGCTACTGAGGGGACCATTTTGTAAGTATATGATTGTCTAATCACTGGGGTATACATCTGAAATGAATACAAAATAATATTGAATGTCAAATGTAATTGAGAAATGAAATTTTTAAAAAGTTACCCAGATAAGAGAAATGCATATCAAAACAATGAGGTACCCATAGCTACTATCAGAAAAACAGAAAATAACAAATATTGGAAAGAAAGCAGAAAAATTAGAACCCTTATGCACTGTTGGTGGGAATGTAAATTGGAACAATTACTATGGAAAACAGCATGGAGGTTCCTCAAAAAATTAAAAATAGAATTACCAGATGACCCAGCAACAAGAATTTAAAGCAGGATCTTGGAGAGATACTTGCATGCCCATGTTTGTTCAAACATTATTCACGTAGCCAAGAGGTGGAAGCAACACAAATGTCCATTGATGGGATAAAAAAGGAAAAAAATGGTATATACAGACATTTAATGGAATATTATTACACAGCCTTAAAAAAGAAGGAAATCCAAACAACCTAAGTGCCCATCAGCAGATGAGTGGATTAAAAAACTGGTACATCTACACCAGGGGTCCTCAAACTTTTGAAACAGGGGGCCAGTTCACTGTCCCTCAGACCGTTGGAGGGCCGGACTATAGTTTAAAAAAAAACTATGAACAAATTCCTATGCACACTGCACATATCTTATTTTGAAGTAAAAAAACAAAACGGGAACAAATACAATATTTGTATTTGCATGTGGCCTGCGGGCCGTAGTTTGAGGACCCCTGATCTACACAATGGAATACTATGCTGCTGTAAAAAAGACGAAACTCTTACCATTTGCAACAGCATGGATAGACCTGGAGAGCATTATGCTAAGTGAAATGAGCCAGTTGGAGAAAGATAAATATCACATGATCTCACTTATTTGTGGAATATAATGAACAACATAAACTGATGATCTAAAATAGACCCAGGACATAGAAGCATCGAACAGACCATCCAACTTCAGAGGGAAGGCGGGGGGTGGGGGGCAGGGGAACGGGAGTAGAGGAGGAGAGACCAAACAAAGGACTTGCATGCATGCATATAAACATAACACATGGACACAGATAGTAGGGGGGCAGGGCATGTGCTGGAGGTGGGGTGGGAACAACCAGGGAGAGGTCAATGGGGGAAAAGGGAGACATATGTAATACTTTAAACAATAAAGAATCAAAATTTTAAAAAAGGAAATCCTGTCACATGCTACGTACGACATAGATAAACCTCAAGGACATTATGTTCAGTGAAATAAGCCAGTCATGAAAGGATAAATATTGTGTGATTTTATTCATATCAAATATCTAAAGTAGTCAAAATCCAGAAATAGAAAGTAGAAAGGTGGTTGCCCAGGGCTTTGGGTAAAGGAGGAAAAGGAATTAGTATTTTATGAGTATAGAGTTTCAGATTTTCAAGATGGTAAGTTACAGAGATTCGTTGTACAACAATGTGAATATACTTTACTGAAGTGACATTTAAAAATGGTTAATATTTCTTTTCTGAAATCAATAAAAATATTTAAAAATAAAAATGGTTAGCATGGTCAATTTAATGTTCTTTTAAAAAAATTTTTATTGATATTTAGAGAGAGAGGAAAGGAAAGATATAGAAACATCAGTGATGAGAGAGAATCATTGATCGGCTGCCTCCTGCACGCCCCCTACTGGGAATTGAGCCCCCAAACAGGGCATGTGCCTTGATTGGGAATCAAACCATGACCTCCTGGTTCATAGGTTACCAATCAACCGCTGAGCCACACAGGTGGGGCAATGTCTCTCTCTCTCTCTCTCTCTCTCTCTTTTTTTTTTTAACATGTATTCATTAACTTGAGAGAGAGAGAAAGATAAAGAGACAGAGAGACAGAGAGACATCAATTTTTTTGTTCCACTTATTTATGCATTCATTGATTGATTCTTCTATGTGCCCTGACTGGGTACCAAATCCACAACCTTGGCATATTGGGACAATGCTCTAACCAGCTGAGCTACCCAGCCAGGGCTTAATGTTGTATTCTTTTACCACAATTTAAAAAAAAGAGTTACTCAGGTAATTCTTATTATAGCCAGGTTTGGGAAACTAGCAATAGCAGATTAAAGGTATGAAGTATGTTCCCTCTCCTCTTCCCTCCTTACTCAACCTCTCCAACCCTACTGGTTTTAATAAGTGAAAACAAGGCCACGTAATAAAGGAAGAACACAGCAATTTCATCACCTTCCTAACTCTGTATTTTCATCTTCTACAGATTGAAAAACTAAAACAGCAGTTGAATGAAACAAAGGAAAAAGCCCAAGAGGAGAAGGAAATATTGGCAAGTATCAATGTACATCAATACACTTACTGGGTGGTCAGCTTTCTGACAAGCTCATTTTTAAGACACAATGAGATTAAATGAATCAGTCATCTGAGCAGCTCAGTAACCTTACAGTTCACACATTTGTTGTACAGAAGCTCAAAAAACAACATAAAAATATGTTATTATAGAAAACCATCTGGTATTAGTGGTGCTTACTGATCCCGAGTTTTACATTCTTCCTACGGCTTTTCAGTAGGCCAAAAGTTAGGAAATATGTATACACAGTATTTTTAAAAGATTAAAATATAAATAAAGAAATTTTTTAAAAGATTAAAATATATCACAAAATATATTATAAGTTCACACTAATGTTTTCAATTCAGATGCAGGAATAAAGGGTTTTTACTTAACTATATCTCCTTATAAAGTTAAGTGTGTCCTTTCTTCCTTGCCCAAAATCCTGGTTCTTAATGATAACAATATAATTTTGTAGTTGCTTTAAACCTCAATACATCAACAGTCACAGAATACTGATACCAATGCTACCACCAACATAGATTAGTGGGAACAGTTTTAAGATTTTGTGAGGCCCTTTTCTCCTTGATATATGCCAATAGGAATTTACTATCAAATTATAAGGTTTAAAAACCATTTGAAATAATTCCTTTCTGTGAGGTTATGCCATCAACTCAACAACACAGTTTGCTTTTGATATTTAGGAGTTGCTTTTGAAAAATTTAATTGTGCATATAAAAGTATGTAATTATATAAATATTTATAATTATGTGGTTTCAAAGTCAAATCTATCAAACATGGTATATTCTGAGAAATCTAACTTCTGTCCATGTGTTCAAAATATACCAGATAGGTGAGAAATGGTTTCAGTGTATTTCAATTTGCATTTCTCTTATTGTGAGCTAGGTTGAGCATTTTTTTCATATATTTGAGGGTCATTTGCATTACTTTTGATATTTCAGGTGTGGTGGTTTTTGTGTGTGTGTGTATGTGTGTTTTGTTTGTTTGTTATTGTTGTTTTTGCTGTATTGGCCCTTTTTCTTCTTCCTCCTCCTTTTTCTCTCTTTTCTCTCTCCTTTTCTTCCCTTTTTTCTTCTTCCTTCTTTCTTCTCCTCCTCTCTCTTCTTCCTTCCTTCCTCTTTCTCCCACCTTCTCCTTGCTTTCTTTACTAGAGATATTAGCCCTCCCTTTGTCTCTTAATTTACTAATTTTAATTTAGGGTCAGGAACGTTATTTATTGTTCTTACAGATTAAATTTTTTTTTAGTCTTATGCCTCTTGTTAATAAATATCTGCATTTTCTATACAAGATCAGTTTACTTAGAATTTTTTTTTATTCAAGGCACTTGATATTTTTTTAAAAATATATTTTATTGATTTTTTACAGAGAGGAAGGGAGAGAGATAGAGAGTTAGAAACATCAATGAGAGAGAAACATCGATCAGCTGCCTCCTGCACATCTCCTACTGGGGATGTGCCCGCAACCCAGGTACATGCCCTTGACCGGAATCGAACCTGGGACCTTTCAGTCCGCAGGCCGACGCTCCATCCACTGAGCCAAACCGGTTTCGGCACTTGATATTTTTTAACAGAAAGTAAAACTTTACACAAAAATAAAAAGGGAACATTTCTTTAAAGAGGATAGACAAATGGCTTAAGGCTTCAAATGGAACATGATTCTGCGGGATATCTGTTCTTTTTCCTAACTCATTTACCTGTTTTTCTTTGTTTTTATATACAGGAACAAAAGTATAATGAGCAAATAAATGACCTGGAGGGACGTTTCTATCAGAAATCCAAAGAAATTGGCATGATTCAGACAGAGCTAAAAACAATAAAACAATTCCAAAAACGAAAAATCCAAGTGGAGAAAGAATTAGATGATGTAAGTTTCTTTCTTTTAAAAAGGAGGTTAGAATTAATACTATGTCTGCAAAAGCCTTCACTGACATTTACTCATGTAAGATGGTAAAGGGATTTTTTTTTTTTTACAATAAAAGTGTAAGACATCAGTTTAGGGCTGGATACAAAAGGTCTTGATGGTTAGACTTTTCTTTTTCTAAGCATTGATGCCTTTGTAAATTAACCAAATCTTAGCCAGCACATAACTCCCACATTTATCAGCAGTCAAAATTTTAGAGTAACTTCAATAAGAAACAAACTACAGTTCTTTGAAAACAGTAGAGGCAAAGTAGCAAAGTCCTAAAGGAAAATATGTTTAGACGGATGAATGATAATTTTAGAAAATTTTAAAAGGCTCTCTGGGTAGGTGTGGGTGAGATGAAGAAAACAGTACTTTTAGAAAATTCCTCTGACCTTGCTATGCTCTTTCTCTTACTTTCCATCCTCTCATCTCAGAATATAGTTTTATTGCATTGATCATAATGCAACAAATGTCATAGATGAGTCCAGGCATAAGTAGCTGACTTTGGGCAAGCTACTTAACCTCTCTATTCCTTGGTTTTCTCATCTGTAAAATGAGGAGAATAAGAGTCTTATAGTGTTATTTTAAGGACTGAGTTCATATATGGAAAGTGTTTAAAATAGTGTATTTGACATAGAATTATATTAACAGTGGTGTGTAGCTCTCTGAAAAAAATAAGATTATTAGCCAAAAAAAGTAATTTTCTGTGTCCCCATAGCATTTTGTATCTTTTTATACCATTTAGCCTATTCTATCTTGATATTATAGTTATCATTTGTTTTATCTACCCTAGTGGATTGGTAAATACTTCAAAGTACAAACAGTGTTGTCCTTTGTAGTCATCAAAAATACAAGATAAACAGTAATTTAGCTCAATAAATATTTGTTAAATGCCGAGTGGGTCTTTTCATTAAAAATGTAATTGGAGGGAACCCTTCCGGTGTGGCTCAGTGGTTGAGCATCGACCTATGAACCAGGAGGTCATGGTTCGATTCCCGGTCAGGGCACATGCCAAGGTTTCGGGCTCTATTCCCAGTGTGGGGCATGCAGGAGGCAGCCAGCCAATGATTCTCTCATCATTAATGTTTCTCTCTCTCTCCCCCTCTCCCTTCCTCTCTCTCAAAAAAAAAAAAAGTAATTGAAGGGATATCAACTTTTCTTTTAATTAGATGGGAGGACCCTTTTCACAATGTATACATATATCAAATAATCACTATGTACAGTTGAAATACTTTACAGTTTTGTCATTTATGCCTCAATAAAACTGAAAAAGAAAAGTTTAGAAGGAATATTAAGTTCTGTTTTATATGAAAATGCTGCATATTGAATCAAATTAAGTTCCTTAACTTTTCAGGAACTCTCAAAATAGACATTTTATGTGGAGGTATACATTCTGAATCAAAGTGAATGAGGAACTAGTCATAATCTAGTGGGATGCAGTGGGATTTTTTTAAAGAACAATGTTGCCACCTAGGGGACAAATAGATTTCATATCTCTTCAAAGAGGACTGTTGGGCCAGAAAGACTTAAAATTCAAAGGCTTATGGGGAAAAATAAGGTGGTTCTGTGGAATATGGAAGAATTAAGGCAGGTGTGGAGGCCCGTGAACTTAAAATTAAGGGGAGAGGTAATACATAAATGAAGAAAATTAATTATAGTGGGTAATAAAATTCACTGTATACATTTAAAAGAAGCTAATTACATTTAGATTATAAAAAGGTAGTCAAAACATATATTTTAAAGAAAACAAAATTCTATCCACCTGATTAGCAGAAGAAGCATACATTGGTAGGTTGCAGTTTTTTTTCCCTCATAAATTTTTTTGTCTTTGTTTTTGACAAAATGATGATACCCATTTCAGCAAATTTAGCTGATAAAAAAAGTTGTCCTCTCCCCACCACACACACAAACACCTAGAGATAGCCATTGAATCCTATATAATAAACGGGTAATATGCAAATTGACCCTAACAGCAGAGCGACTGGGAATGACTGGTCACTATGACACACGCTGACCATGAGGGGACAGATGCTCAATGCAGGAGCTTCCCCCTGGTGGTCAGTGTGCTCCCACAGGGGGAGCTCTGCTCAGCCACAAGCCAGGCTGATGGCTGCCAGTATAGTGGTGGTGGTGGGAGCCTCTCCCGCCTCCTCAGCAGCACTAAGGATGTCTGATTGCAGCTAGGCCTGCTCCCCGCTGGCAAGTGGACATCCCCCAAGGGCTCCCGGGCTGCCAGAGGGATGTCTGACTTCCAGCTTAGGCCCAATCCCCCGGTGAGCGGGCCTAAGCCAGCAGGTGGCCATCCCCCGAGGGGTCCCAGACTGCCACCGGGCCTCTAGTATTTTCATAAAAATGCAATGTAGAAATAAATATATATATATATCTACACTAATAAAATACAAAGATGCTAATTGACCATACCTTCGCTATGCCCCAAGCCACGCCCACCCGCCAATCAGAGTGACTATATGCAAGTTAACCCAGCCAAGATGGCAGCCGGCAGCCACGGAGCTGGAGCAAGCAGGAGGTTTGGTTGCCTGGGTGATGGAGGAAGCCAAGCTTCCTGCCTGCCCTGAGCTGGTTGTGGCCTCCGCTCATGGCAACAAAGTTTCAATTATAGAAGACAAATAAATCCCAAATACCTGCTTCCAGCCAGCCTCCACTGGGAGCTTGGGTAGCTGGGGGCCGTGACCAGCCTGCAAACAGCCATCAGCCCCTCACCCAGGCTGGCCACACCCTCATGGGGTGAGAGTCCCCGCTGGGGGGCTTAGCTAGCCTGAAAACGGCCCTCAGCCCCTCACCCAGACTGGCCAGGCATTCCATAAGGACCCCCCCCCCACCCTGAAGGGGCTGTGGCCAGCCTGCAAACAGCCCTCAGCCCCTCAACCAGGCTGACCAGGCACCCCAGTGGGGACCCCCACACTGAAGGTGCAGTGGCCAGCCTGAAAACAGCCATCAGCCCCTCACCCAGGCTGACCATGCACCCCAGGAGGGACCCCCACCCTGAAGGGGCTGTGGCCAGCCTGCAAACAGCCATCAGCCCCTCACCCAGGCTGGCCAGGCACTCCTATATAATAAAAGGGTAATATACAAATTGACCCTAACAGCAGAACGACTGGGAATGACTGGTCACTATGACACACACTGACCACCAGGGGGCAGATGCTCAATGCAGGAGCTGCCCCCTGGTGGTCAGTGCACTCCCACAGGGGGAGCTCTGCTCAGCCACAAGCCAGGCTGATGGCTTCCAGTACAGCGGTGGTGGTGGTGTACTGGGCTGCATATCGGGGCACGCTGTGCTGTCTGTTCCTGGAACAGACAGATAGGAAGGTACTGACATCAGGTCAGGCCTTGAGATATGGTCTCATGGTCCCTCCTCAATATACTGTGCTCTCTGTTTCCGGAAAACATAGATAGGAAGGTGATAATGCTATACTGTGTTGGGAACAAATTGCGTAAACAAGGCTTTGTAACTTTGTAGTTTTTTCAAATAAATGTGCTGTAACTTTTGCAGTCTACACCACAGTTCAGCCTTTTGCTTCGGCGGGATGCTGGGACTGTGGTCAGCTGGCTGGCTTAATAAAGGCACCTAAATTTAAATTCTGAGTCGGTGGTCTATCTCGCTGAGTCAACCCATAACAGTGGGACCCTCTCCTGCCTCCTCAGCAGTGCTAAGGATATCTGACTGCAGCTTAGACCTGCTCCCCGCTGGCAAGTGGACATCCCCCGAGGGCTCCAGGCTGCCCGAGGGATGTCTGACTGCCAGCTTAGGCCCAATCCCCCAGGGAGCGGGCCTAAGCCAGCAGGTGGTCATCCCCCAAGGGGTCCCAGACTGCGAGAGGGCACAGACCGGGCTGAGGGACCCCCCCCCCCCGAGTGCACAAATTTTTGTGCACTGGGCTTCTA